CTAATGACATTACTAAAAATACAAGTAGTTTGCTCTTTTTTGAAAGTTGCAAAAATCTACTGGGAAAATAAATTTTATCTTGCGTTCTGCGATAAATTATTAGCATCAATAAAATCACATTGCAGATTATTTCTGCAATGATGACAGATAATAAATAGTTTTTAATGCAGTAGTTTATCAGCTCTGATACAGGAAATAGACTATATCTTAAACGATTCGAAAATTTAAGTCTACTTTCTTAGATAAATACCATTACTAATGGTACAAAAAATAACTTTGCAAAAATACAAAACATATTAGTTTTAGCGGAGAAATCGTGTTATTGGTGTTGGAGGTCATCGCTGACATTAGTTTTTGGTGTAACCTATGTCAATAAACTAATTCAGAATTAATATTCTTAAAATAGGTATTATTTGATTTTGTCGAGTCGATAACTTTACTTTTCGAAAAGTTTACGGGCGCATCACTAATGGACCTGAATGTTGTGAGCCTTAGGTGAGCGAGGCAGACTGCGTGCTAAATTCTTACTCCCATTTATTTTTGTTGTTAGTACTTAAAGTTTAAATTACCTACTTATTATTTCTAAGAAACATTGATTTATGACATATGACTCATTAACATTAGTCGCACTCTGCATGCGTTAAAATATAAAATAGTAATATAATTGTGTTTCGTCCAGTACATGATTAATTATAATTTTAATCATTTACTGGACGATTTATGTGAAATGTTTGTCTGGTCATAGAGAGACAGGTATTACACCTAGGCCATAGAGAGACACTCATTACACCTAGGCCATAGAGAGACACTCATTACACCTAGGCCATAGAGAGACACTCATTACACAAAGATTACATAGTAATTGCTAAACTGAATAAAAATTTTATTAATTAAGTTTTCGTTACAGTTCATTCTAATTGGTTTTATCGAGAATCGGCCAGTGAAATGTTACGGGTTCTAACAATTGACAAACTGAATTTTTCAAGTAATTGTCCTATAAAAACTGGCTGTTTTCCAGCGGCTACATCTGCGTAAATTATAGCCTATGCTACTGGAAGGTGAAAGATTTTTTTAAAAATCTGTTTTATTTGGAGACTATTTGATGAAATGAAATGTTCGTAACAAACAAATATTTTATCTTTATGATATTTGAACCTATAGACATTAGAGAATTATAGTTTGTGGTTATAATACTAAAATATATGTCCGAATATATCAACTTACCAAGAATTGTATTGTAATATACGATGAACAACCTATGGCTTTCGTACTCAAAGTTTCGTCTTTGTATTGCAATGAAAATTTTCTTATATCTCGCTTGAAGCTAAAAATAGAAAAGAAGGTCGCTTTAAAAGGCCGACATAATACCATGGCGCCTGCGAAATTGCGCCGATGTGTATCTGATGTGAGCGTTGAAAAATTCAGATGTTTCACGAAAAACCCACTTAAACCTGATAGAGTGGCCCGTTTTATGAAAAATGCTTGGTGCATCAACGCATGCTCGGCCTCTCATATATTACAGTCTAATATATAACACACTTGCTGATATGCAAACTTTTTGTTTTTTTTTTCAAATGAAAACTATATGTATTCTAATATTATTTTTATCATTAGATTAAAAACTCAACAGATTACAGATGGTAACGGTGTCGCAAAAATAGAAAAAAAAGAAACTGTCCACCACTAGCAATCATTATTCTATTTTACATTGAACATTGAAGGGTTATAAAATATTCCGCTCTACCAGACTCCATCAACACCTATGTGCAGCCGAAGCAGTTATATAAGCCATTAAAAGTATAAATTGGTTTAATATGCTATATGTAAGTAAAGAAATAAATTATACATTAAATTATTAAACACCTACAATATATTATTTTTATAATAGTATTAACTTTATGGGGCTCTGCAAACCATTTGGGATGCTTCCAGGAACCAACAGTGGCATGCGGACCATCGTTTAAGAACCAGTGGTCTAGGCAGACCTCATTACCGTTGGTAATGAAGGAGGGATCGTGTATGGGGCCAATAGCCGCCAGGACAATTTAGTAAACCAGTCCAGTAAAATTAGAAATTGTCCTATTTCATTGGACTGGCTTGATAAGTGGATTGATTGACTTTATTTATACGAGACCGATACTATCCTGGCTAACTTGACTGTCTCGGCTACTGGTGTCGTGTAAATGGTCCATAACACTTATGCTGGAGCCAGCGCAGGCGACTGAAAATATCCTATGCTTAAAGACTTACTAAAAAGATTTCTTTTGTTTTTCAATCTGTTAAAGTGATTTAGTTGTTTTGTTCTTATTTGTGTCAATTTTAATGTTTTATCGCATAAAAAACTCCCCGATCCCCAGTATCTATGCTTCTACATGAGCCAGGCTAGCAATAACTCTCCGCTGTAAAAACTCCGGTTCATCCATCGATATGAAGATAAACTCGGTGTGCCGATCGCGCCCCATATTTCATAAAACCCCGCTCTATCTGTTTTGAGAGTGTTTTTAAGGTAAATAAATGGCTAAATATTTTAGTTGTCCGATCGATATATTGTCAAATATCATTTTAAACTCTCAATAACATTTAAATGACAAAAAATGTAGCGACTTTACAAATTAAAAGTCATGCACTTCAAGCCATACAGTTTCGCTACAACTGAACTCTACGCTTTGAGTGGAGTTTTATCTGTGAGAAAGCTCTATATCCTATATCTAACTCTAAAAACCCACAAAGTGTTGCCTTTCAATCCTACTAAAAACTGTAGGAGACGTAAGGGCAAAGTCATTCCCATTTCTGCGGTTCGTACAGTATTTGCTCAGCGTCAGTTTTCAGCTCAGTCTGCAGTAGTTTATAATCAACTAAATCTAAAATTAAACATATATCCTATGCAACATCATATATGTAAAAAAGTAGTTGCAGATTGGCTTGAAAAACTGACCTATGAAGAAGTAGAAAACTTGCTGGTGCGACCTTTATGAGATCATAACAAATAAACACGTTCACAAATACACTCACATGCATGCCCACACACACTCACGCACGTACACTTCACACACACACACACACACACACACACACACACACACACACACTAAAATAACAAAAAAAAAAATAATAAAAAATGTTAAAATATGATAATGTAAAATATGTATCACTGTTTTTCCTTAAAAATGGTAAGAGCGAGATATCTCCAACACAAGTATTACTTTTACTTGCTGGAGTAATCTCATGTATAATTATGTTAAATAAGTATGGAAAATAAAGGAAGGATTATTATTAAAAAAAAGTCATTGTTGTGATGTCAGCAGCAATGTAAAGAGTATGTAACGCAGCTTCGGGTGGTGTAACGTCTATTTATTACGTATATTTTACTGTTTAGTTTTGTTTGAAACCTTTTTGAAAAAGAGACATTAAAAAGAACATTAGGTCACAAGGGAGGGTATTAACGGCTGCATTTGCAGTAGAATCCTCATTGGGCCAGCGTGGAGGGGCATGGCCTATCCTCCTTAACCATCCACAAGGAAGGCCTAAGCCCCTACAGTGGGGACGTAAAGCGGCTTATGGTCAAAGTCGAAATCAAAATCAAAATCTATTTATTCAGTTTAGGCTTTTACAGAGCACTTGTGAGAGTCGAAAACTACACCTTGAGACCTTGTACTGAGAAGAACCGGCAAGAAACTCAGCAAGGGCTATTTTTTTCTCCCTGTTTTATTTCACACAGAGAAGTCTTATTGAAAAGTAACTTCATTAGAATATGAAGTCACTTTCCATTACAATATTAGAATGTAAATACAATAAAGTCAAAATATCTAACACCATGCCTTTTTGTCATTTAGATATTCCTTAACGGTATAATATCCTTTACTTTGTAGACAATTTGTAATATGACTTTTAAAATGATTTATTGGCAAATCTAATACGTCACTGGGGATCTTGTTAAAGTACTGTATACTTTGACCCATGAAAGAACCTAATACCTTCTGTAACCTGTAAGAAGGCATTACTATGATGATGATGATGAGATCACAAGTGTGTCTATAATATCTCTCCATCGATTTCGGATAGAAAGATTTGTTCAGTTATAAGAGGAGGCTTAATGATCTTTTGTATGAATTATTATTATGATCAATTTATTCGCTAATTGTAGACTGATTTTAACATGTCTATCGAAATCTAATCAGCAGGTTTGTTCGTATATCAAAATAACTATTAAGTTTTTCACCGAAAGAAACAAAATCGCGTATTTCAATTTTATAATGTTAACGCCAAAATATTTTTTTATGAACAATGGACATGACCGAATCAGGTTCTTTATAGTACGAGGTTCTGCCTTTTATTCTAATATTATATCATATTTTGTTTTGTAGTTCCTTAATATTAATTGTACCGATTTCAAAAGAAGTTTAGAAAAGAATGCGTTTTTATTGACTACACACACCACATACATGATTTACAATAAAACATATAATAATAACAATGCAAAAAAACAAAATAAGTTTAGCCTATGATTTATTATATGGTTATGTTTCGATTTCTTCGTAGTTGTTAGAATTTGATCTAATAAAATCTTATTGTAATGAATGTAACGTAAACAAGTACTTTCGTATGGGACGGGCATAATAATGGGCAATTACGTATAATCACCAATGCGGACTAGTGCACACCCGCTGTTGATGCTAGCTTAAGAAAAAACATTATTTTCTATTTCATTCTGTTTGAGGAACTCACAAATTATCTTTTTTTGTAATATATACCTATTATTTTGCATGTTAGCTTTACACAAATATCTGTTATTTGTAGTTATTAAATAATTGAAGTGAACAAAAAATAATTATTTAGACATATTTTTTTTTCCCATAATTATTTTTTAAGCTAGCTCACCACACCTCTACTGCTGTTGGCGCATTATTAATCCTTACTTTACAATACATGAGGAGAGAATTGAACCAACACTTCTATTGGCCGGCAAATGTCGTTTCCGAATGCCTCTTTATCGGATAATGAAATATTACACTTATTATACGAGTTATATAATTTTATAGCGTATGTATAAATTTTATCGTGAAAATAACTACGCGAGTTTCTGAATTAAATTAAAAAAACTAGTCAAAAGTAATGATATTTGTTTTAAGACGATGTACCATTCTAAACAGCTGGTGTACAAATGGAACGGCTGAAGCGTATATCACTATAATATATGATCTGATATAATTATTTGGTGGTTAATGGACCGTTAAGCATGGACATATGACTGCCTATACAACAACTTGGTTTTGATTACAAATTATTTTCTATTATAGAAATTGTCAAATTATCGGCGTCTAAATTCGCATCTAAAAAATATCTTCTTATATGATAATAAGTTTTAGTACAGATAACAAAAAACATACAACAACTTATAGTATAATTGTTTAAAGAATAATAAGAAAAATTGGAAAAATAAAATAATAAAACTGAAATCGGTGAGAATTATCTGGAATTGGTATTATCTTCTTTAAGTCAAATGAAGCTTATATAATGTTTAAACCTCACTTATCCATTCCGAAGGCACTAGGAGTTCATTTAACACACCTCCTTCTATGAGCCACATAGTACCACTGTCAGCTTTCTTAAATATCTCCACCGCTGCTTTAGATACCGCGTCGACTTCCTGCCATATTGCCTTCTTCTTAAACTTCTCCAGTATGGGAGCGTGAAATATCCGACTTTCATGTAAACTAATGTTATTACCCATATTAGTCTTCGTATAACCCGGACAAATGCCAATAACTCTTACTGCCGTTTGTTGATAATTAACCGTATGACCTATAGTTCTAGTGAAACCGATCACAGCATATTTAGATGCTTTATAAAATGGTGAAAATGGATCCACCCTGAAGCCAGAGACCGATGCTATATTGATCACTGTACCACCAGATCCTCCTTTATCTTTCCTGGCATAATTCCAGAATTTCATGGTCAAATCGACGGTACCAACAACATTGACATTCATCGTTTGTCTAATTGAATTCTCGTTCACTGTTCCAGCATTGTTAACAAGAATATCGATAGTTTTATACTTCTGCACGATTTTATCGAATACAGTGTCCACATCCACAGATATATCACATTGGAAAAAGTCAACTTTACCCTCTCCAAATTTAGAGTTTAGCTGTTTAGTGGTGTTGATGCCAGCGTCGGAATTAATATCCAAAATAATCGCCTTTTTAACTTGTTCTAGTAAGAATGCTTCTACAATACTTAATCCGATTCCTCTAGAAGCGCCGGTGACAACAACAATTTTGTTTTTCAAGTCTTTCTCCATTTTTAATTCCAATATTTTGCAATCTACAAAATATTAATGTAGTAATTGTTTTCAGATATAATATTTGTAATTATTAAATTCGCGGCATTTTATAATAATTGTTATCTCAAATTTGACGTAAAGATAATTGATAATATCAGGTGCAATTTAGATCTACGGTGCAGGCTATTTAGATTCGAATAGACCTTTGTTTAAGACATTAAATGTTATGTCATAAATTCATTTCGTTGGTACGTCTTGCCCTTGTTTAGGCATTGATCAACAGAGATTGCCGTTTTCGATAAATTTTGCATTCGCATTATAATACTTACATAATACATATTGCCGACAGTTATATCATTGGAAAACTCTGAAAAAGTACCTAATTAACAAATAATTAAAAAATAATTCTCCCGTAATTTTTAACAGTATCTATGCGCTGTCTCTTGTGCTTGTGATTTTCTTTTTGATGAAGAAACATATAGTTGTATTGCTGTAAATTTTCATTTAGCTACGTTTTTATGTATTATCAATAATTTTAGTAGATATATTTGATCCATACTGTGATCACTTTTCAGAGGGATAGTATGATTCAGTTCTGTATTTGTAAGCACGTAATTTTATTTTACTATTTCATTTTAACTTGTTTTGTGAGTTAAAATAAAAACAATAGAATATGATGACTTCCGGAGCTAATTGGCTCACCGTGTGGTTTCATGATGTCGCCTAGTTGGGGTGGTTCTTCTTAGAAAATGAACTCTTCTATATAACCTCGGTTCCAGGTATTATGGTACGTTGTTTCAGATTTCCATAATACATGGCCTTATAGCTACTTAATTTGGAATTTGAAATTTTATTAAATTTGTATGAAGGTATTAAATGACACTTATGTACACGGAGTCTGCATTACAGATTATTCAGTGTTTTTGTGTGACTAAAATAGTCTAATTACAACAAGTTGGGATTTTGATCTTCGACTGGATTGGGATCCAGTAATTAGTCTAAATCTCAATCCAGATCGCCCATTGGAAAACCAAAAGTTACAGTTAGTTCATTCTGTAAATATAATATTAAATCTAAGGGACCAATTCACTATTCTTCTCGAAGTTTGTTTCACCAGTTCTTCGCAGACAAGACTCCCAAAGTTTGAACTGTTGGTATATTACAGTAGCCAGGAGTAAATAGACAAGTCAAATGTATTTTTAAAATAGTTTAATTTAATAAATGAAACTTTGCCATAAAATATAAAAAAATTGTTTGTGAATGTGTCCAATAGTATTTGTTTTTGAAGGAAGCTATACTCTTAATTAAAGAGACAATCAACACCTTAGTCTTATGTGAACACGGAACCTGTAAAGGGTCCGAAACGTCAATAAAACTAGATACAAACGCAATGAAACCGTTAAATAGTTGTTTCATTTATGGATAGTGCGAATGAAAATATAAGAAATCAATATACAAAAACAGTATAATGAATGTCGTCAATCTCCAGTCTTCACTAACAATACCGTATCGAAAGCAGTTTCGAACACAGCGCTGTTAGATGTTTGATCAAATATAACGTTTATTAACCTTTGAAGTAGGTTTGATTTGAGTGAAACACTGATGATATAGTGCTGTGTTTGACGCTGTGTTATATATTATATAACTAGAGTCTCAAAAGAGTGTATAAAACATACGATTCAAAAAGTAATTTAAAATAATTACAATAGTTTTTGCGAGAAGAGATCATAAATATATTTTTTTGCTTGTATTTTATTGTAGATATTTGGAAGTATGATATTTGCACGTCATTTTACATAACAACAAAAAATATATTATCAGTTATAACTTTTATCTTTTGTGAATTTTATAGATAAAATATTTCCGTATTGAAAAGTATATATAGTTAATTTTAAATAAAACCAACTACGATATTGTGTTAGAGGCATTGCATATGATGAATTTGGTTTTGCTTAAGTCTAGTGTAGTCTATCTAATATTTATTTAATTTTCATTATCTTTAATTTGCATTTTCTCTTACTTTAATGAAGATTTGTAAGTGCCACAATGATTGTTGTATAATATATCCGAATATTCGTTATAGTTTTGTGTATAATGAAGTATAAATAAATTTGTCATACAAATTCAAAACTTCATTTGAAGTCAAGCGTGTAAAAACTTAACCATCCAATCTAACCAGAATCAAAATTGAGAATATTGAATTTATATGAATCATCATCATCATCAGCCCTTTTACATGCCCACTGCAGGGGCTCAGGCGTTCCTTATGGATGGTTAAGGAGGATGGGCCATGACCCTCCACGCTGGCCCAATGCGGATTGGAGGGTATTAACGACTGCAAATGCAGCCGGGACCAACGGCTTATAGTGCCTTCTGAAGCACGGAGTAGCTCGAGATAACAATTTTTTGGTCACCTATCCCGTGACCGACCCTTGCGAAAGTTGCTTAACGACTACGATCACGGGCCGCGGCGCTAATCCACTACGCCACCGAGCTACTACTAATTTATATGAATAAGAATTATTATTCGATTCTTTTGAAGTCGTCTATCTCTTCAAAAGAATCGAATAATAAGTTTTATTGTAGTAATTAGCTTAAAATCATATTTTAGGCCCTGTATCGTTCTACAATTTCTCACTGCAAAGCATGTTAAATGTACGTTTTTTAATAACATTACGAAAACTGGGGGGTTTATGCTTTCATAAGAGGATTATACAATAAAAAATAAGTCCAAAAACCAAAACCCGACTACATTATTTTATATTGATAGCTATATTATAATAGCGATGACCAAAGGACAGCGTAGTCGTATGCCACAACAGTTTCTTTTGTTCTTATCAGTGGCAAAAGGGATTTTGAACTTATTTTTTTATTTAATAAATTTTCGGGTGTATTTAAGCAGAATCGCAAGCAAAAGCCATCAAATATAGTATATATATATTTGAAATGTGCTAATTAAACCCATTCATTTACCTACACGGAATGATTGAATATACTCGTATATTTTTTTGTTTCTTACTTTATGATCTCTAGAGGAGTAGTTGAATATACTATATTATGAGCTTAAAAAGGTTCTTTTATTTACTTTGTCTTTAATGAATGTTTTGTCAAAATCAATAATATTACAAGAGTCTGAGTCAAAAAATATAATGAGCATAAGATATTTGATGATGAACAACTTACTTTGTAGGTGAAGTTCTATCACAATTATATGAGTGATTCTTACGAAGTAATCAGTAACCTGTAAAAAAAACTTTATTGACCCATGTAGTAACGCATACGTGACACCACTTGCTGCACTTAGTAGAGGGTATACGAGAATTAGAAACTCTATTTTTTAGTAGTACCAAGTCTGTTTAAACTTGTCGCCGTGCTCAGGAGCTCATCAGTTTAGAGTTACGTCACTAAACTATTCCCAAAACCCTCACTTGCTACTAATCTCTTCTAATGGTATAACTATGATACCCGTTTCCCTTTCCATGATTATTTTCCGAAGTGCTTTCAACATTACTGAAAATAGTGGAAATGCATAAAAGAAGAAATTGGACCAATTTATTGTAAACGCGTCAATCGTTTTTGCATCAGGATCTTTGTGCCATGAAACGTATCTTTTATATGTAATGTTTATCACACTGGCGAATAAATCGATGTCTGGAATATCTAAGTTAGATTTTATTATTTCAGAAGCAGAGTAAGTCAATTCCCATTCAGTATCTGTATGAGTTTTCCTAGATTCTACGTCGGCTATTAGTATTAGCTTTGGATTTAATGTAAGAGGTTAATATAAATAGTTTTCACCCTTCGCTCCACTGCCAAAACTTTTTAGTTCTGTTCGTGAGATGTGGATTTTGAACGCCACCCATGCGGTTTATATAGGAAACTGCGGTATTATCAACACGTAATAAAATTGATTATGTAAGCCTGTACTGTACATATGTTTCGACCACACCCAAGTTTCTCAGAGACTTGAAATAGGTATACTGTATAATATTTACTGGTTTGTTTTGCTTAGTATTCATTCTAAGTAGTTTTTGAATTTGAAGCAATATTTGCAGAACTTTTGTGCGTACTTAATTTAATATGGAAGTTTGCGAATTTCTGTACGTTGAGCGCGTGTATTCGTGCTTTGGTACAAAAGTGCTTACATTCGATTAGACTTGGAGTAAATATGTAGTAATTTTCCATGTAGTCGCTTCGGAAATTCGCGACTGCTATTGTGATTTTGCCGTTTCACACGCGTGCTCAAATGACGCTCACTTTTCTTCAATAAAATATTATATTATCAGCTTTATAGCTTGTTATTACATACAATATTAATAATATATTGTGTAAACAAAGCTGGTATTGTTTAAACGATATACTTAGTTAAAAATTAATACCTTTCATTCAAAGTTTACATAAGTAAGCTTTGTATTAATACAAGCTTAAACATGTTTGAGGAAAAGGAAAAAAAAGTAGGGACGGGGTTAGTCTAAAAAATAAAACAGCAGTAATAATGTATAATTAAATATATAGGATACAATAATCATCACAGTGAATGTTGATTTATTTATAGAAAAGTACATTATAAGTCAATACGAAAAGTCAGGGTACATACAAGGAGAAGAATAATGAAACTTAAAAATATGATTCGACGATCTCATTGATAGGTAGGTATGTATTTTCATATACTATTAGATATTACATTTAGCTTAGTTACGTAGGTAACTTTAAATAAAATGGTTTAAAATTTCAGTACATGCACTACTGAAATTCTGATAATATTTTACTGCGATAAGAAAAGATTTGTTAGTTATTATATAGTAAAGTTTAAGAATTCCTCATTAGGAATACATTCCAGAACATCATTGTAAATGCAAAATTAATCAAATATAATGAAGTAATACTAATTAGAATATTCATTATTGATTCTTACTTACAGTAAACAAGCCAGTAGTAGGCATGGCAGTTTGTTAACTTGTTAAAATAAATAAATATTAGACAAAATCGTACACGTTAGTCAGATTCCAAGATGAGGAGCTAAAGCCACCACATTATGGAGTATCTGCGACAACGAAGGTCCCACAACATGCAGACCCAAGACAATATACAAAACTCCATTTTCTGCATTGACCCAACCGGGAATCGAATCTGGGAATCCAGAGATAGCGACACTTTAAACCCGACGTGAGAAACACGCGGCCCAAAAGTTTCG